TCGTTGTTAGTTGCCAGTGATGCAATTAAAGCCAATTAGTTCGCCCGAGAGTTGGGGTAAACCAACTCCCATGCCGGTTTAGTTGGTGGGTTCCTTTTAACGGCAAAAACATGATAATCAGTGACGCTCGTTGACCGCAAGTTTTTTTCTGGTTTCACCTGCTCCATAACTAGGTTGTGCTGTATTGCCCAAATTCGGTGCGAGTTGACTGATTTATAACATCCAAGTGCTTGATAAGCTTGGGTTCCAGATCGGGCAGCCAAGACGTAGTTCTTGCCATTCTCCTTCGTTGGACACCTTGATTGCTAATGCTCCTGTGTTGGGGGGGTTTCCGTTTTTGTCGTTTGTCCGGGTTTCCGCATCGGCAACTCTGACTCAATATTCAGTGGTCCGTTTGTGGATTCACGAGCCACGGATGTGTATACATATAAGAAACTTAACCAAGGAGGCGCCGTTTGAGGAAATCGTCTCTTTGTTTTTTTGGTTCACTCACCGGCATGATTAGGGTTCTAGTATTGGCCATCGCACCATCTTTACGGACAAACGAGACACTGGTCTATCAAGGCGCCGAGGACACAGCATGACGACGCCAACAGCAACGTTGGCACCCGCGTCGCAGGCTCGGCAGGATTCAATGCCTCCGGTGTCTATCACCAACGACACGGCGGAGAAGGGACCTTCGTCGGGCCATGATGGCAAAGGCTCCGAGTACTTGGACCAGGCGACCATCGAGCGTCTGGGCCGCCAGCGTCCAGAGGCGCTGTCCAACTGGCTCGCCGAGTCCTTCTTCGTCTTCACCATTGTCATGTCCATGATGATGAGTGAATACTTCATCGGCGGCTTCAACATTGTGCTGCCGCCCATCGCTGACGCCCTCGAGATTCCCGCCTCGTCGCGGACTTGGCCCGCCGGAGTGACGAATCTCACAACCGCCGCCCTCCTCCTGCCGTTTGCCCGCCTCTGCGACCTGTACGGCGGCAGGGTCGTCTTCCTCTGCGGACACATGTGGCTCCTCACATGGTCTCTTGTCAGCGGCTTCAGCCAAAACACCACGATGCTCATTGTATGCCGGGCCATGCAGGGCATCGGCTCCGCGGCCTTCCTCCCCGCCGGCCTGGCCATCCTCAGCCAGACATACCGGCCCGGCCCGCGCAAGAACTTCGTCTTTGCCATCTACGGCGCCTTTGCTTGTATTGGTTTCTACTTTGGCATTTTTGTCGGTGCCCTGACGGCCGAGTACCTCGACTGGCGCTGGTACTTTTGGATCGGCGCCATTGTCGGCCTGGCCGTTGGGATTTCTGGGTCGATTAGCATCCCCAGGCACTTGGATGATGTGAATCCTAATGCTAGGATGGACTGGCTTGGCGTCGTTACTATTGTTCCCGCCCTGGTTCTTATTGTCTTTGCCTTTACTGATGGCGGACACGCCCCGGATGGGTGGAAGACGCCGTATATTTACGTCACGCTGATTCTCGGCATCCTCTTCCTTGCTGTCGCCGTGTATGTCCAGGGCTGGGTCTCGGCTCAGCCTTTGTTGCCTGCCGATTTGTTCAAGGCCAGGTACATGAAGCGGTTGATGACGGCGCTGTTCTTGTCGTATGGCGTATTTGGCCTGTATCTGTTCTACGCCAGTTTCTAGTAAGCACTAATTTTGTTCCAGATTATCCTTCTTTTACAGCCATAATCTAACCTGATTGATTACTAGCATTGAGACTGTCATGCACACAAAGCCAATCCTTACTGCCGCTTGGTTCACGCCCCTCGCGGTCGGTGGCATGGTGTTGGCCATTGCAGGCGGCCTCGTTCTGCACATCATCTCCAACCAGATCCTCATGATCATCTCTTCTCTGGGTTTCATTCTGTCTGTTCTCCTGTTCGCGCTTATTCCGGACCCAGCTACGTCCGGCAAGTCCACCAGCTTCACTTACTGGGCGTACATCTTCCCGGCCATGATTGCCGGCACCATTGGCGTGGACATTACCTTCAACGTCACCAACGTCTTCATCACCACTGCTATGCCGCGCCGACATCAAGCCGCTGCAGGGGGCTTGATCAACAGTCTGCTGTATCTAGGTATTGCATTCTGGCTTGGCATCGGGGAGCTGGCCGTGTCGGCAACGGTGCAGAGCAGGGGCGGCCACGACAAGGTCGACGCGCGTGAACAGTACCGGATTGGGTTCTGGACGGCGCTCGGCTTGGCCATTGTGTCCTTGGGCCTTGTACTCACCATCAAGATGGGATCCGCCGAAGCCAGTATGACGGCAGACGAGAAGGCTGAGATGGAGTCGAGACTGCAGTCGCGTCAGCAGTCACAGTTGCAGCTGGAGGAGCAGCCGCCACAGGTACAAGCACAGCAGCAGCAGTCATGAGTCTTTCCAAGTCTGGACACAATTTTCTGTATTTATGTAGCCTATTCTGTTTGGGCAAAGTGTCACTTGCAGCGGTTCAGCCTTTTTCGTTTTCGCATACACTGTTGCATTTTACAACGCGAGAATTTTAGGGATAGATATGGGACAATTGGCATATTTCATATAGACGATTTAATGACATAGAATTCTTCTACACTTGTAGACCTTGGTTCACATGATTGGTTCACATGTGGTTGTGCGACGCAGCTCAGTAAGACAAGCCGAGGACCGAAGCCGACGCCGACGCCGTATGACCGGACATCCCCTGCCGTCTTGGCCCCGCCTTGGCCCGTCTTGGCCGGGTCCACTCGTACAGTTTCCAACTTCTTCCTGCCTCAGACCTGTCTGGTGCCTCACAAGACAAGAGGTGGAAACCACACGACTCCCAGACCTGCAGATTAGGATGCAGAAGCAGCACTGTTCATTCATGGCCTTTCTACAGAGCTAGCTACTTTATTAGGGAACACTTCCAGATGATTGTCCTGGGTAGGGTACGAGGCACTTATAACCTCATCCCCCTCCGACCATCATCGTAGGAGTATACCGGACCATAGTGACGATAAGCCGTGAAGCCCATCTCCCAGGCAAAGTCCACAGTCCCGGCTTCCACCATGTCCACGGAGCCACATCATGCCATGCCGAACCGCGAATCCTTCACCACCAAAGACATCATCCACGACATATGGACGACCACTGGTCTGCCACCAGAGGCACTCACAGCCCTCGACCTCCCAGGCGCGGACGCCAGCCCAGCCCTCCCATCATCTTTTAAAATCGTCCCTCTGGCACAAGCATCAATTGCCCTGTCCGCCCTCGCCGCGCGCCTCCTCCGCTCCACCAGGGTCGACGACAGCGCCCTGCCCACAGTCCGCGTGCCCGCCGCCCACGCGGCCATCGAGTTCAAATCCAACAGCCTATACACGCTCCGGAGAAACGAGACCCCCCTCCCGCCGTATACGCACAACCCCATCGGCGGGCTGCACAAGACGTCGGACGGGCACGTACGCATCCACGACGTCTTCCCACATCACGTCCAAGGAACGCTGAAACTGCTCGGGCTGCCAGCGGACGCGGCCAGACAGCACGTCGCGGGTAAAGTCGCGCGGTGGAGCAAGACGGACCTGGAAGAAGAGGCCACGGAAAGAGGTAAAGTGGCCATCTATGCGCTGCGGTCGTACGAGGAGTGGGATGCGCTCCCGCAGTCCGGGGCCGTGGATGCTCGTCCGGTTCTGCTCGAGCCCATTGGGGGCGGCAACTCGACACCAAAGCCCATGGCTCCCCTTGCCGAGGGAGGCAAGAGGTGTCTTTCCGGGCTGAGGGTCGTCGAGCTCACGCGCGTCATTGCCGGTCCCGTGTCTGGCAAAACTCTTGCCGCTCATGGAGCGGACGTGCTGTGGGTGACGTCGCCGGGTCTGCCGGCCTTGCCGATGCTGGATATCGATCTGAGCAGGGGGAAGCGCAACATTCAGCTCGACATTCACAGAGCGCAGGATAAGGAGCGGTTGATGGACCTGCTCAGGAATTGCGACGTCTTTATTCAGGGGTACAGACCCCGGAGTCTGGCCTCGTACGGGCTGTCGCCAGAGGAACTTGTCAAGATCAACCCGAATATTGTTTGTGCCAACATGTCGGCATTTGGCCCTACTGGTCCGTGGTCTCACCGTAGAGGTTTTGACAGTCTTGTCCAGGCTGCCTCGGGGATGAATATCTCTGAAGCCGACAAGGCTGGCCAGGGAGAAGCATCCAGGGTTCTTCCGTGCCAGGCTCTGGATCACGCAAGTGGGTATCTGCTCGCTACGGGCATCATGGCTGCCGTTTACCGTCGGGCTGCACACGGTGGTGCGTGGCAGGTTGATGTATCACTGGCCGGGACGATGAAGTATCTACGCAGCCTGGGTCAATATCCCGGTGCAACTGGATTTGCCGTTGGCGACTATTTAAAAGGCGAGAGTATTCCCGCGGAGACTCTGGTGACGACGGAGACAACATGGGGTACCTTGACAGCCGTGCGGCATAGTGCCGAAATTGAGGGCTGCGAAGTGAGCTGGGACTTGATGCCCTGTCCACCCGGAAACAATAAGGCAGTCTGGACCTCATAAAAGACGGGTATATCGTGTGTAAACCTCGGTGCGTGCCATCCTTTGAGAAATTTCGTTGGCACGCGGAGGGGAATGTCAGTATAGTCTTCGAATCTTGAAGCATATCACTTGTTACCTGTCGACAACTTTAAAGTGCACGTAGGTCAGGCGCGAGCAAGTGGCCGTAATAAGTGGACCTCAAATAACTCCTGTCATTACTCCATCTTGCTCCGTTCGTTTTTGAGAACGTGCACATGCTACATACATCTGGCGGCTGCCTAACTTCGCCAGTAGCACACCAACTTTGTTGCTTTTCAAGGGATAACATGTCCCCAACACACGCGCCAAAGACCGTGTCAAATTCACAAGAAGAAAACTCCGCCAGTGGTCGATATGATGATAATCCAACAACAAAAGACATGAGAACAAGAAATATGTGGATATGTACTTGGGATGCCTGCGCAACGTTCAGGCCATTCAGGTTGGAATCGTCTTATGGCCCTAGTAGCGCGGCTTAACCGTGCAAACCACCAGTTCTCTGTCGCATCAGATCTCGTCGCTCCTTATCTTTCTCTATAGCACAAAGTTCATTAGTATAAGCGAACATGCTTAAAACCAAAAGTAGGGTTGAAGAGCTACTCACCCCCATCGAATACAAGGAACTCATGTAGAGCAGAGCCAGCAGGCACCATTGGCAGAACGGGCACCTTCTTGTCAGTGACAACTTCCAAAAGAGCAGGGCCTTCGGAGTCGATCAGCCACTTGAGGGCATCCACAGTCTCGGCAGGGTCAACCAGACGGCGAGACTGAACGTGCATTGACTCGGCCAGCTTCACGAAATCAGGGTTAACCTGGTGAGTGTGGGCGTAGCGATCCTCATAAAAGAGGTTCTGCCACTGGGTGACCATGCCCTGTTCTTCGTTATTCAGGACGATAACCTTAACACCAATATTAAACTGCGCGGCGGTGGCCAGCTCAGTCAGAGTCATGCCGAAGGAGGCGTCACCATCAATATCAATAACAAGAGCCTCAGGCTGGGCGACCTTGGCGCCAATGGCAGCAGGCAAACCAAAGCCCATTGTTCCCAGACCTCCTGAGGTAATCATAGTCCGAGGATGCCTCCACCGGAAGTGCTGTGCAGTCCACATCTGATGTTGACCGACACCGGTAGCAATGTAAGTCTTGTGCTTGCGATCAGCTGTCAGATTGCTCAACTCTTCAATAAGGGTCTGAGGCTTGATAAGCCCATTACGCTCTGATCTGTCGTAGTGAGACAGCGGCCACTTCTTCTTCCACTCGTTGATCTTGTCAAACCAGGCCTTGCGATCCTCCATAGATCGAGGCTCGACCTCGGGCAAAAGAAGCTTTATGCTAGCGGCTACATCGCCTTCGATAGCCTCTGTGGCTTGGACAACCTTATTGATATTCTTGGGCATAATCTCAAAGTGAACAATACCGCCACGCTTCTGGGCGGCAGCAGCCTTGGCTCCAGGAGCAAACTTAGCAATATTTCCCGTAACCCGATCATCAAAGCGACCGCCCAAGGCAATGATCAAATCGGCCTCTTGCATAGCCATATTAGCGTAAGCAGAACCGTGCATGCCCAGCATATGCAGAGCCTTTTCGTTAAGCTCATCATAGCCACCCAGACCGTGAAGGGTAGTAGTAACAGGAATAGAGCACTTCTCGGACAGTTCCCTTAAAAACTCGGGACCATTCTCGGACTGGACGATACCCTGGCCTGCATAAATGACCGGCTGCTTAGAAATGTTAACGAGCTCGGCGACACGCTTGATAGAAGCTTGTAACTGTTTATGACTGTGCTCCATGGCGGCTCGTGACGCGGCGCTGGGCAGAGAGGGGAGGGCCGTCTCAGTAGGAATGGCCTTTCTCAGGATACCGGCAGTGACGTCTTTGGGCAAATCGACAAGGACGGGACCGGGTCGGCCAGATGTGGCTATTTCGAAAGCTTCGTTGATTCGGCGAGGCAACTCGGCAACGTTCTTAACCATAACATTCCACTTCGTACAGGCCCGAGAAATTCCCACAACATCGGCCTCCTGGAATGCATCGCTTCCAATGGCGGTGGTGGGAACCTGCCCGCAAAAGACAACCAAAGGCGTTCCATCAGAAAGGGCATCCTGCAAAGGGGTGATGACATTAGTGGCACCGGGTCCCGAGGTTACAAGGACGACACCAGGCTTGCCAGAAGCACGAGCATAGCCCTCAGCCATATGACCAGCACCTTGTTCGTGTCTAGGCAAGATGAAATCAAAGTGTTTTGAATTATAGATGGCATCGAAAACGGGCAGAATGGCACCGCCAGGGTATCCAACTATACAAGCGGAGTGACTCATGTTAGTACAGCATAGGCATATTAAGTGCAAATGCAAGTTGACCAGGAGGGATATCAACGTACAAATGTGCTTGACACCTTGTCTTAACATCATCTCGTGGAAAATTTCGCCTCCAGTTTTGCCAATAAATCTGCAGATGTAAGAATTTCACTATGAGCCCATGTGCACTGGTCTTGGAATTGTGCGCCAGTAGCAGCAATTGCGGGTTGTACGTACGACTCATCCATGTCATTTTTGGGCTGGTTCGCCAATGGCTGAACATGACTCTGATCGGCTGCGTTGAAGGCAGGACTTGGCACGGCGCGTACACGGCTGTTGAGAGTTGTCGTGGTCAGCTCAAAATGGTCCAATGCAAAGATGTGGCCGATGCCGGCGGGGAGGCACATGATGACCAGGGAATACACTCACGGAGCAGAAGACGTGGCCGTCGCAGTGGTGGCTTGATTTCTTTGCCCAGAAGGAATCTTTTTTGAGGCTTTGAGGGCGGCAGGAGAAGTGGTAGAGGTGAAGGATCGTGTTTGGCTGACGGCTCTCAAGGCCTTTGAGGCCTGGCGACTTCGGAGCATAGCGAATTGGTGGAGACCAGCTTGAAGCTCTGGTCACGCGAAAATATGCAAGATTGGTCCAATGCTAACGACTGCTTACCCGGCTCAATAAGTTGAGAGGGAAGAGTGACCTCGCTGGCGAAGATATTTCACCACAGGCAAGAAGTTGGACCGCAGCGTGGAACGGAATGGCAGTTCGTAGACGGCGATGTGGAAGGATGGTGGGAAAGGAAAAAAATGTGGGAAGGAGGCAAAAGAGAAGACTTGGCTACGACCAGTCAGTCGATTTGGTGGCACCGGGCGGAAGGGCGGGGGGGCGAATGAGCTTGGGCCGGGCTTGAGTCACCGACAGCGCGTCAAAGTTGAGGACAATAGCGGATGGTCGGTAGTCTGTTGCATGTGGGCATTGGCGTGAACCGGTTCCCGGCGTCCTTCTCGAGGCCCTTAACGACGGCATTGAACCCAACAGATCAATTAATCTGCTTCAATGTTCAATGCCCGAGTCCAACTCCCGGTCGCATTGCCTTTACTTCAAGTACCACGCACGCTGTCAATACCTCCCGGATGATTCACAGTCGCGCGCGACCGGAGCAGCGACACCTTGTCCCATGTGCCGAGTCTGCAAGTCCCTGTAAGTCCACGCTACCCCGGCCGCCACTTTTGGCTTGCCCCCGGTGCCGTCACCATCACAAGCCAGTACAACGACCATCATGTCCTGCCGAACAGTCGAGCTTCGACAGGCCAGCAGATGCGAGCCCTGAGACAGCCAGCCATGCGGGGTTCGTTGCCTGACGGGTATTTTGGGCTGGCGATGTCTGGAAGGTTAACGTTGGCTTTTTCGGAAGTGTCTATGACCAAAGTCCAGGTGGCTTTGCTTAGTTGCACTATGTACCCAATACTTGTCCACAGAGAGATCTAGCAACAGCCGAGGCAAACATTGAAGTATTAGGCGCCCAGATGCAACATTGGAACCGGCGTTAACTTGTAGTAGTCCAAATTCCACATCAATGCAGCCTGTTGTACAAAAACGACCCAGGGCATCATGTATGTACGTCTACCTAGTAGACAGTCACCAAGGGACGTGTCTTACACTTCTCGTCTCCTCCGCTTTCGCTTGTCTGGCTCCGATACACAAGGGCTATCCACTGCCGTGCACCTACTACTGCCGTGCTCCATACCTTGTACTCCGTAGAATGCACGTCGATTTGCAATAGTTCTGCGGCAGAAGATGATTGATCATACATTCGCGCTCCATCCAATCATACTGGGTCCGCTCGTCATCTGCTTGTCAGCCAGGTAACTTGCAGAGCGTCTCAATTTTGTGTGCTTCAATCAGTACTTGGTAGAATGGCCAGGCCAACTTCTTATTACAGTGTCGCATCACAATGAAATAGACCGAGCCATACTAAATTAACCAAGTAACCCATCATCAGTGGCATATATTCTTTTATGCTTTACTTTGCGACGTGATAGCTGAGGAAATCTCCTACTTTTTGTTCCTCATCAAACAACCAACGTCGCTGCTGTTGTTGCGGTCTCGGCCGCTTGGTGACCCACTTTCGCTGCGATCTCGGGCTCCTCTGCGCTGTAAGTGGATCTTAGCAACTCACCCGAAAGTTGCTGGTGAAGGTTGGGTATTGCTGACCCAAGAGATTCAAAGTACGTCCAGCAAAATCGTAATGAATTCTACACAATATTCTGTACTCCGTATGCAACGTGAAGTTTAGCATGTCCACTTGCCCGTCTCGTGCACAAGTACACAGGGCTTGACATCAAAAGTGAAATGCACGCGTTCATGTCAATACCAAGTAAACAACAAAAAATATGGCGTGATATTCACATGCGTTGCGACCAAAGTGGTTCTTTTAATGCTATGCCTCATTGACATTTAGGTCAGTCAGTGTATACCCTGCGAGCCATTATCGATCGCTGTCCATTCGCCGTAATACAAGGGCACCTTATGGCCTCAGCCACCATTGAAATGTGAGTGTTTCCTGCTGCCCCGTCCTACAGCCCCTATCGCTGTTTCAATTGGTATCTTCGCTATATCCCTAACGTTGACGTCTCGCGTCCAGGCCCATGACCGAAGGATCATCATGGTATCTAAATAAATAAATAAAAAAACGAATAAAATGAGTACAAACAAGACAGGCCGAAAGAATGCATAGTGACAATGCTTGGGGTAGTGATACAAACGAAATATGTCAAATCATGCAGGTGCCCACGCTTCAACAATGGATTGCGTATTAGATGTACATGCTTCCTCCTAGCTTTTGAAAATAGATATGTATATAAAACGCTTGGGCTGTGTGGGTATGAGGTACAGAGAGTGTGGTTGTATGGTGAGAAAACGGTCGATAAGCAAGCGATTGCCAAGAAAAACATCAATATTTACCGACGTTACGGCAGGTTGATTGTAAAGAATTGTTGATTAGCGTGTAGAGAGAGTCTCAAATATTATTATATGTTTGTAAATCAAGATGGTTTCGGCAACCGTGCCAGCGTTGCGAAATAGCTAGAGTTTAGATTCCTTATCATTAACAATGTTTCATGAGAATCAGTAATGGATGAGACAGGAGCTGAGAACCATATCCCCCAGGTTTCCTACATGCCCAGCATTGTAGGTACCATTTCTGGAGGAATGCTCTCATGAGGGATTGCCTTTTTGGCTGGTCGAAGGCTTTCCATGCTCACCACTCTATTCCACGAAGCCGGTCGCTTGTGGGGAACTGGAGTTGCTGGCCGAACCGTTGAAGTTTGACTCGCATTCATTGTGTAATCATATAGGCCATGTGGAATACCAACGTGTGGTGGGTAGGGGTCAAAGGATTCCATAGTGCACCAAGACTGGTGAGGATTCTGCTCCATCTGCATTGCGTACATCATCGGACCATCAACAGGCGTGTTGATTTGCTTTGGTAGGTCTTGCTGTACTTCGGGAGCAAACTGTGGAGCATCGACCGGCCAGGCAGATTCGTTTGGGATCGGATAGGGCGTTCCAGGGTGAGGGCCGTTTGGCAAGTCATCGCCCATGACGGTATCAACGTTCCCGTTAGGGCCACTCACAGGTACACTAGTAAAGCTGGCGGCAGAGCCGGCGGGTGTGCTACTTGGGCCAACAACACTAGCGGGAGTTGGTGGACGCGATGATCGTTTGCCCTTTCGACTGGGTAATCTGAAGACAGATTGGGATATGCTTGATCGGCTTGATCGGCGTTTCGTCGTCGTTAGGATCGAAGAAGTGTCGTCGTCGGGTTTGGGGCTCGCTGCATTACTAACGTTGTGTCCGGGAGAGTTAATGAGACACTGATTTCGGTAAGGAAGTTGAAAGTATATGTCGATTTCTGCTGGTGGTGGCGTAACTGGAGACGTAAAGGGAGCTGTGCCCAGAATAAAGGCCAGCCGAACCAGATTGGAAATATCATTCCCAAGGTGACGGCATTCAAGCATCCGTTTAAGATCCCCCGATGACCGTGGCCGCCAATGTAGCCCCTGTCGCTTCTCTTTAGGCCAAATACAGGTCTTCCAGGTGGATTTAACTTGTGGCTGTCTCATCAAATTTTGAATCAGTACTTTGTATTCCCAATCCTTGACGTCAAAACCGTCCTCGAAGTGTTTGGCGATGTGTTCAAAGTGCTTGTCCCGCGTTGCAGAGGCGTCTTCAGCGGATTGCGATTCAAACAAACGATCTTTACATGCGGCAAACCCACACGAAAAGACAAGCTGGGTACATAACTCTGTTCGTGCTGTGCTATTCGGCAAAGCTTTCACTCTGTGTGCCTCTTTGGCGTGAGTGCTATAAGCTCTCTCAGTAGAGAAGGAAAGATGGCAACCTTTGGTGCGACAGATCCAGATAACATCAGCACCGTGGAAGTTGTGCAGGTGTTTCTTGAAGTCGCTTTTGCGTCCAAAGCCCACAGGGCTGTTGTCAAGAAAGCACATCGGGCATTGATACTTCTTCGAAGTAGGGGCAACCAGAGGCGGAGACGGATGGGAAGTCACATCATTCGGCGGGAGAGGTACGGGGTCAGCGGCCGGTGAATCCAACCAAGATCGCTCGCTAAGTTTGGTGGGTTCGGGATCATGCATCGGCTGCATATCGTGGGACACGTCAGGCCAAGTGTATTGGGTGTTGATAGAAGCATCGTCCGACCTGCAGTGGGATACATCTGAACCAGTCCAGGCCAAAGATGGCGCACTGATGCTACTGAGAAGTGTGCTTGCTGAGAATGTAGAAGCCCCAGCTACAGCAGCCAAGTCAGCTTGTCTGATTTGCGTCAAATTGAACAGGGAATTTTCTTCTTTTATGCGTCAAGGAAACTTACATGACGATGGTGACCCTGTCAAAGCGCAGAGAAGGCTGGGTATTCCATATCGCTGGACCAGTCTCAAGAGCTGCTGTTGGTCGTCGTCTGTCAATGGTCGCACGTTGGCGTCATCATGTGTTTGATGTGGTTGGCCCTGGTACGGAAACATGGCGGAGTGTCGTGACAATGGGAGAATGTCGAGCCCGAAATCACTCAAATGAAACGCCGTGTTAAGCGCCAATGCCAAAAGTTATTGCGATTTGTCGACAGCGGAAAGATCATTCGGTGTGTGTCGTCGTTGGTGATGTTACCCGGAGCGTTCAAGTCCAAATTTCCCTCCAAAACGAAGCCTTGGCTTGACCGCCGCCTCTGACCCCCGCGCGCAGAGGCGCTGCGACTGGAAGAGAGGGTGAGAGAGAGACGTTGAGGGCGGATGATTTTGAAGTCTAGTCTGGAGCACGCGATGACGCAGAGACGGACGTAAACCACACGCAGGCAGCCAAAAAGAGACAAGTAATAGAGGCAGTTCCGCAC